TATATATATATATATATATATATATATCTATTGGAATTATAGTTATCTATTGTGTATTATAGCTAAGAATTATGTGATTTGGTACCGTTTAGCATATTACATTTATTTCATATTCATATTCATTTCGACTTGATGATAGAGATATTTTACAACTTGGAGTATCCAACTATTTGACAGTTGAAGGAGTTTTAAATAAATTCCATACATTTTGGTGTTCTCATTGTGCAATATATATGTATATATGTATATCCGTTTATATACATACATATATTGTTCGATATTGTTATGTCATTTATAATACTAAGCACACATATCATTCTAGTACGTATTCACTTGAGATTTGATATGTGGCAAATGCGTTCCCAGTGATTCTCATGTTCTATATTTCTATATATCGATCTAGGCTAAAATGCATCTGCATTTGATTGGAGTTTTTCTATGGTCACATTTGATATACGATCTTTAAAAAACAAAGTAAAAATACAAAAACAGAAGCAAAATATAACAGAACTGAACATTAGTTTAGTACATATCAAATATACATACTATATTTTTTATTTCTTTTCTTATATACTTATGTATTTAGAACTTTTTCTAGCCACAAAAAAAAATTGTTTATGTTTCCAATTATTTGTGAGACTAATTTCAATCTACATTTAGTTATATGTATATTTAGAATATTTAGTATATTTAGTATATTTGGTATATTTAATATATTTATACACAAAATACAAAAGTGTATTCGGTTCTCTATTTTTTTTTTCTTCTTCTTCTTCGCTTTTTGGTATATTGTTCGCACTTTAAAGTTTGGCAACGAAAAGGCAGAAATAACTGCACCAAATATGTGCTCTATGCGCTCTCTATCTCGCTTGCACTCACACACACCACACACACACTCACACTCACACACATACGCATTCAGACCCATTCATGCACGCCTGCATAGAAAGCTTAGTTTATGGAAAAACTTTGGTTCACACATATTTGTGCTCTGATAATCATCTAAATATAGTATGTAGAAATCTTTGGATATCGTGTGACTTTTGTTCTTCTTCTTGTTCTCTCTTTCTTTCATTTTGTTATCGATCACTCGCAAATTGTCGTTCTCTAAATCTTTGCGGACATATCGAAAGTAATCCCACTTAACTAAATTTATATAGAAAACAAAATTCTATCCATAGCTAGTTATGTCGCCATCTCGACTGTTTGCAGTTTACAAATTCTTTTATATCTACTACATACATACATGTATATTTATATTTATATATATATTTATATTATATATTATATTTATAGGTAACTTAGGACAAAGACGAAGTAATTTCCACTATAGATATTGTTCGTAATGCGCAATTAAAAAAGTTTCTCTTGTTTCGCTTTTCGCTCTTCATTTAAGTCTCGGCTTTGGCGCCGGCTCGGCTTAAAGTCGATTCAGCGCCCGTTCCCAAAAGTATGCAATAGGTTTATCGTCAGATTCTCTTTCACTTTTCCTTAGGCACAATGACTGACGTTTTTGTTTTTGTTTTTGTTTTTCTCTATCTTTAGTACTAAATAATACAAATCAAAATTGACCACGGCTAGCCGCAAGAATAGTATATATGGGCTTGCAAAGCATTGAAATATGGTATATATGTATATATCTCTATATACACATCTCTCTCTTATCAGAGCTATAGTAAAGAGGCCTAAAAGAGGCAAAGTGAAACGCAAAAGAAAGACACGGAATAGTTAGGTTATTGTAGAGGCAAACTCTCCATCCACTTGAAACTTGATTCAAACTTAACAAAACAGGAAACGCTTTGAGAATGAACTGGGGCTGACTGGTTTCTGAGGATCTCCGGGTTATATGAGGATCTAGCGTTTGCTGCAGTCGCGAACCCAGCTCGATCGAGTCTCTAGTTCTCGATAACTACAGACGATCGCTGAGAATATGTATGAAACTGTAGACCACAGGTAAACCCAAGGAACTTAAAATATTATCGAATGGAATAAGGTAGAAGGAAGTGAAGATCTAAGAAGTACATGCTGAGCTACAGGTCCACTCATTAGTTACTCATAGAGTCTAAGACAATCAGCTGCAACAAGTTAAAATGTATGAAGAAAACATATAAGAGTGCTCGAGTCGGGTGGGGCCGACTAGGCGGTACCACGGGCTGGGCTTATGAATAGGATATTTGTAAACTAAAATCGAGCCAGGTCGTTATTCTGATCAAAAATATTCCAATTAAATATGATCTCTCACGCATATATAGGGAAATTGACAGCTCCCACGATAAGCTTGAATAGACTTTTGAAATTCTTGGGCTTCCCTTGGCTCTCTCATCACTTTGCAGGCCCATCGATTGGCAACAAAAGGACATTTAGCACACATCTGAAACGAAATAGCTCTCTAGGCAACATGGACAATCAAACGTTGCCTTTGCGAGAAATAGTTGTTGTTTTGTTTTTGGTTTTTCTTAGTTGAACGGCGGTTCGTAAAATTCTTCTCTTTGATATTTCAACTTGTCTCGTTTTTAGTGTGTGTGTGTGTGGAAAAATAGATTGTGAGATCTGTGTGTCGAATCAATCGCTTTACCAGACTTCACACTTCTTGGTCGGATTCATGCGAGTGTCGGCCTTGCAGTTGAAGACATCGGCGAACTCCTTCATGTTGGACAGTGTGCCAATGACCCGGAACTGTGACGGCGAATGGGGATCCTTTTCCATTTGCAGCAAATTGGTCTCATCTGTGGTGCTGGAGCACCAGACCTAATAGGAGCATCATATTTATATCAAATGCATCAGCTAAATATACATGTACCGGCACTCACCTGTGCAAAGGAGACAAAGAAGAGTTGGGGATGCGTCAAGTTCAGGCCGGGCAGCTTCAGAATGTCCGCATTCTTATCGAGCTTGGTCTTCATATAGGCATGATAGGCCGCCTTCAACCCACCATTGTCGGCTATGTTCTCGCCTATGGAATGGAAGACCATTTTAGTTGTAGCTAATCGAGTTAGACGCTTCAATTTGGGGACTCACCCAATGTCTGCTTGCCGTTCAGATTGCGTCCGTTGAGCTTGTAGCCACTGTACTGGTTGGCAATGCACTCGGCCTTCTCGTTGAAGCGTTCGATGCTCTTGGCATCCCACCAGCGATTGATGTTGCCGAACTTATCGTATTCACGGCCCTGATCGTCGAAGGCGTGCGTCAGCTCGTGGCCCATGACCACGCCCATGGCGCCAAAGTTCAGGCTCTTGGGGTTGTTGATGTCGAAGAAGGGCTTTTGCAGGATGCCGGCGGGAAAGACGATTTGATTCTTGGTGGGCGTGTAGTAGGCATTCACCGTTTGCGGTGTCATGCCCCAATTGGTCTTATTCACCGGCTGGTCCAGTCGCTTCAGATTGCTCTTCAGATTGTAGATGGCCACCTGGATGTTGTTCTCGAAGTACGCATTCGCTGTGATATTCAGCTCCTCATACTTCTTGTCCAGTTCGTCGGAGTTGAGGATGTAGTCGGGAAAGCCGATCATATCGGAGATCTCGTTGGCCTTCTCAATGGCGCGCTCGCGCGTCTGCTTGTCCACCCAGCTGAGATTCTGCAGATTCATTTTAAAGGCCTCACGTATCTCGCCAATCATTTGCTCCGCCGCTGGCTTGGACACGCCATGGAATGCCTGACGCACGAATATCGCGCCCACGGCAAAGCCAATCACATTGTTCGTATCAGAGACGCAATAGCGCCACACCTCCTCGCCGCCATCGGAGCCCATCAGCGCCTTGCGCACGCCCTTATACGCATCCCGGAAGGGCTTCGACAAGCAGCTGGTCAGCGTGCGCACCGCCTGCCAAATCAGATAGTTGTTCAGCGTGCTGCAAAAGCGGAATTCGTTGTCAATTAGTAAATGTTAAACTAAACTGTTAACCGATTGATGCCTCTAACCCGGTTCGCGTGCTCAACCGACAAATATAATGCTCACTCGCTCTTGCTCTGAGCGCCCTCTGTTGTATTCGTTGAGAGCCTTGAGTGAAACTATTCGTGTGACTTTTGTAAGTGCAGAATAAACTCAATGCTCGCGCACAAAACACACTCAATTCGCGTAGAGAGCACACACACGCATACACACCAATGCATTGCAATGCATGCACACACTCAACCAAACGGTCGGCGAACAAGCAGAGCGAAACAAAGCAACAATAAAACGGCTGTTAACCGATCGCAGCCGAACTCGCGTGAGAGCCGATGCAATCGGTTGCGCTCTGAGATTTCTTTCCAAGTGTAGGTAAAAGACACTCATTTGCAGACACCGAAAAGCGTTTGACAGTTATATACCAGCTATGCTCAATACTGAATTGCTGCGGAGCTGTGTTTACAGTTTCAATTTCTTATTGCTTATTGCTTCGTCCACTGACTATGCGAAAGCATCTCTGATTGGCCTCAATAGCCATTTCGCTCGCACTCAGCAACAGTTGTATGCATTAGCAGACGTCGAGAAAGGGTCAACAGTTACAGATTTGTGAGCTGTTAGCGTAAAGTTTACTAGCAATAACTAACAGTTGCTCAACAGCAAGATTATCTCATGTTAGACTTGAGCAGTCATGCTATTAATTATGTATATAATGCATACTATATCCTTTGTATTGTATATATAATATAACTATAAAACTATTGTAAATCCCATCGTAAGTTAATGCATAATAGGGAACGCTGAACGACATCAACACTTTTGCCTAACCTCTAAGGAGATAGAGCGAGCTCTTATCTGCACCCTCCTATAAAATTCTTAGACATAGGAAATAATAAAAAACAAAAAAAAAAATGCATATTTACATTTTGCCCGCTTCCGTTTTTTGCATGTTCAAGATGATGTTGGAGAGGTTCTTGAGAAAATCGGGCGCATAGACGACGACAATTTCCTCATCGGTGACGCGCCTGTTCACCATTTGCATGGCATTGTCAAAGTGATCCGTCCAGTTGAGGAACGGCGCCAGCTTAATCAGATCCTTGAGCTTCATGGGATGATACATGGCCTCCTCGTTGCGTCGATCCTCCATTGGAATGGTGATGTTGGCCAGCTTCTTCTCAAAATTGATCACCGCCTCCATTTGGATGCGTGCTGTGGTCTCGTTGGCGCCCAGGAGCACACAGACCTTGGTCATGTACTCGATGTACTCGCTGAGCACCTTGCGATGGATGTCCGTCTTGTTGTTGTAGTAGTCGGCGGTGGGCAGGGTCAGGCCGCCCTGATCGATCTGTATGACATGACGGGTCGAGTTCTTGTCATCCTCCCCAATGGCCCAGCCAAACAGGCAATTGAAATTATATCTGCAAGAGAAGATCGAGTTAGGATATTTCCTAAAAGGGTATTTCGGAAACTCCGGGCCAACCCACTTGTTGTGCAGTATTTTCAGGGTATTGCCCAGCTTCCAGTTGGTCACATTGAAGCCGGTTTGCGTTACGTTCCAGCCACCGATTTGCTTCAGCAGATCGATCATTGGCTTGGCGCCCAGTTTCTCCATATGCTCATCCACATCCAGGCAGGACTCATAGTAGACCTTGGCCTTGCGTTCCGCCTCCGACTTGAACGTCTTCGCTGGCTTCTCCAGCACGTTGCGAATGATCAGCTGATTCATCTGCTCCAGCTTGCCAAATGTGCCCCAGGTGGACTTGCCCTCCGGTATGGGATTGTTTTTGATCCATTGATTGCTGCAAAGGATTGAAGCAATTGTTATGCATTTGTATTACGAGCTACGACTGTTGGTCCTACCAGGCATAGCCATAGAAGTCATCGCAGGGATCGATGCTGGCATCTATGGACTTCAGAATCTCGCTCGACGCAAAGATGCAGTGCTCGTTCAGGCAGGGCAACTCGTCCGCCGTCAAACAATCTGAAATTATAGATGCAAGTATATAGAGACTATATAAAATATATTTATATTTTAAAGAATGGTTCTGTGGCACATAATAATTCACATTTCATTTCAAGAGAATCTCTGTTATCCAAATACTTACCCTTCTTATGTGGCTGAACGTGCACTACGTGATTGGTATTATCGGAACTGTTCGATAGTATCATGGTGAGCAGCGTTAAGATGACTATGGTCATGACAAAAGTTGTAATCAACAGCCATTTTTCGGTCCTATTTCTCGAACGCCAATTCCAAGTGGCCTATTAAAAGGAAATATTTGGGATGTCAAAATTATTTTAATAAATATTTGAGAGTCTTAAATAAGGTGAGATTTCTTTTAAAGAAAATTCCCGATGATGATTGATCAGAGCTATAGAAAACGTAAATTTTAATAATAAAACTATTTTTATAAAAAGTTTTCCAATTAGAATTCCATAAAATAGTTTAACTGGAATGAGGCTGTATCTTTTATTTTGAAGAAAATTTCTGTTTATGGTATTCGTAGATTTCCATAATCAATCCATTGAACATTTTACATAGTCTATTTTAATAGAAAGTCTTTAGAATTATATAAAATAACGGGGCGAAATGGAGCTAGAAGGAACTTTAATTTTTCTTTTAAGAAATAATCGGATTAAAAGTTATCAGAAAATTATTTAATAAATTTTTTATATGTTCTCTATATATTCTATACATGTTATATATACCATAGAGAGGTCAGGATATATATTTTCTTAGATTCATTAATAAATTTTATGTAATTATATGGAATTTGCCTAAGCCTAAGAGCTACAATTCAGACTTGAAGCCTGACCTCTAAGCCATTGTAGTTTATATAAGATCTATTTAGTTATTGTACAACTGTAAAAAGAGTAACTGTAAATGCTTTTAAGAGCCGCTCTTGAGTGCGGCATTCAAATTTGCGAGTCTCTCTGTACGTATACGATGCGAGCAGTCGTAACCTTCAAGCTAATCAAATCTCGGACGCTGCTTTTGGGTCATTGCCAGCGAAAGAGATGGAGGAAGACATGCAGTGCGACAGAGAGGGAGGGGAACGATGTGTGGCTAAATTATGGAATTGCTTTCGTTGCCGGCTGGCCATGTGAATGTGTATCGTGTGTATCGTGTGTGTGTGTGTGTGTAGCTGTACTCACCCGCGCCGTGTGATAGCGTATCTGCATGCCGGTGTGACCGGTCGCCTCGTTAAGCTGAATGCCGCCAATTGAACTTGAATCATCTTCCGTAAATTCGGTCTGTTTGTAGCGTGTCATCTGTAAGATGCAAAGCAGAGACCATTAAAGCAGATCAGAACACAATATCAACAGCACAATGCCGCTCGATTAGCCACTCTATATATGTATGTATATGTGTATATATGTATAATCCGAATTATTTTGGTGCACGCGCGCACCGAACTGGATCGCCATCTGGCTACAGTCGGACGGGAGCGCATTGAAGTCCATTATTATCCGCATGCAAATTGCAAGCTGAGCCGAGATCTCAGCATCAGCTGGCATTCATGGCCGGATATGCATAACATATAATCAACTTTAAATTGAAGAACTTGTAAGCAAATATATTTGATTAATGCACCTTTTCGTGGGAATATCAAAGATATCAAAGCGCACCACAAACCCAAGTCAAGGAATTGGGGCAGCTGAACTTGGAGCGAATGTAATATAGGGACTCATATTTGTATAGTAAAGAGAAGAAAGCCAAAATTGAATTAAAATTATCAAAGTTATATAGTATCTAGATTTATCATTTATACAACATTCGATATTCAGATTTGTATCTAAGGGATGTCTCTTACATTCTATAGAACTTTCCAGTCAATTTAGGGTCTTGCCATAGAGATTCTCAACAGCATTTTACATGTAAGCTCTGGCTGCAACACTTCTGCAGCACTCTATCTATAAGACTGGTAAATGTTTATAGGCTTTACTTATAACTGCTCTAATATGTCGATTTATTTATTTATATCTATGCAGGACTGGGCTGTACTTTATGTCTGGGTCTATTAGTCAGACTGATCTGTAGTATTATGAAAGATGTGGACTTATTTTCAATCACAATCTTTCTATATAATAGATAATATAATAGATCAAGATCTCTCTGTAGATGAGATCAAGCACATGGGATAGATAATAGTAAATAGAGTGCCTCCACTAGAATGGTCTAGGAAGCAGCTCAACAGTATTCCAAGCCTCATGAATACTCTCGCTGAACTCAGCTTTAAAGCGGATTAAGATAGAAGACCTGTAACATCCCCAAAAATCGAGTATAGATACATATATAGATATAGTTATTTATATATATACATATATAAATATTTCTTATCTTATGTCTCTCTTTTAAACTTCAAATCTGAAGCTCCAGTCTCTTGTTCAGTAATGTGAGCATATTAAATCCAGATTTTCTTAGACTCTAATCCGCAAGATCCTAATACTAATAAGTCAAAGCCAGAAGCATTTATACTTAATATAATAAGACATAAAGATAAGAAACTTCCACCAATATTCCGCATTTTCAATCTTCCTCTTCAATAGAATCGCAAGACAAACAAAGAAAGCCAATCAACTCTGCTCATGCAGTGGGCGAGTGTAGGCGTATGCAAATGTTTACCTGCAAAGCTGCACAGATTGGAATTACCCATTGGATAAATATGCTAAAATCTAATTAGCCTACATTGCGCCGTGTACCTAGCTAATTGGCCAGCCCTGTGCTCGAGTGTTTGTTGTTGTTGTTGTTGTTGTTGTTTACTGTAGTACATCTGATAATAGCTCGTCTTATCTACCAGCTGGCGCCGGCACTTCAACGTCGAGGGTCGCCTCTTTGAATTTTGTTTTGCTCTCTATGTATTCTATCTGCTGTGCATATCTCAATTCTCACTTTTCTTTTGCCACCTATATATTTAGATCTGTATGTGTGTGTGTAAGTATGTGTGAACCACATTGTCGTGTCAATAGCTCGAATGTTCTGCTTTGGCATTTTTAGTTTTTACATACATATGGTAGATATATATGTATATATGGATATATATGTATATGTATGTATGTATGTGTAGAGTAAGTCGTGTCGACCCTTTTGTTCATTGTCTTCAGATATTTTGCACATGAAAAGAAAGTGCTGACAGCAGACGGGATAAATAGATATATATATATATACATATTAGCCTACATTATATATACATATAGTATAGTATACATACATATATGTATATAGATTGGGGTTGTTGAAAATATATCAAAATATCAATATATCGATATTTTGTTGTATGAAAAAATATGTATGCATAAATATATCTAAATAATATTAATATTAATAATATTAATATTAGTAAATATTTTTTGCCTAAATATCGAATATTTTGACGATATTTTTGATATATTTAAGTTAAGCGGTCTTTATCATTTAAATAAAAAATACTTATTTTTATTATTCTTGTTCTTTTGTGACGGATGATAAATTTATTGTAAGAAAAAGTAAAAAAAAAATTTTTAAATATATATATTTTGATATTTTTAAGTTAGTTATCAAATATCACATTGAAAATATCATCGATACGATATTTTAAAAATATTCGACAATCCCGATATGGATTGAGAGTTGGGTGTCCAATTATATATTCGTTTAAGTTCTTCTTTAGCAATCTTTCTGTGATAATTATCAACTGTGGCATACAGTAAAATCTTGCTTGAACTGACTTCAACTGCGGTTCACTCTTCAATATATATATATATATACATATATATGTATTGTAGTACATGGAGGAACTTAAGTGCATATTGCGCTGCATGCATCGATTCATTTATGTACAGTCAGCTAATATTAACTCGAGCAGTATTGTAATTATCGTCTGAAGCATCGTTAGCATACCCCGCACACACTCGGGATCTGCCCAGAGGGTATATTAGTTTTAGCAAAGCGAACTACAGAGAGTCTAAATTGTCTTGTTTGGGACTAAAACGTTAGCCTTGTGCCTCTATCTGTATGCCTGTTCTCATGTGATAGGGAGTGAATTTCTTTTACTAAATCATCAACTCTTTCTATAGCCTTAAGATTTCTTTAAAGCTCAAACATTTAACACATTTAACAAATTAATTTGAGCAAATTTAGTATATACATAGCTACTTCTACTATTGATACTCTTCATATGGTATATTTATGTAAATCTGCCCTTTTACTCCCACAATCCAAAGGGAATGTCTATTAAAAAGACAAGATACTTCGGTCAGGGTATTTGTCGAGTCCTAACGTCCAGCACAATTTCAATTGTAATTAATTAATGACTGCAGCTGTTATGATTATGCTATGGCCCTATGGCTGCAATGTGCATGCATCGAGTGCTTAGTCAATTGACTATTTACAGTAACATTATATCGCACATACTTCATATGAAATGTGGTATATGAAAGATTATATAAAATGTGCAATATTATCAAACATTTCAAACCATCAACTTGATATTGATAGCAAATTTAAAGAGCGTTAAGTTGGCTGCGTTTGCCAAATTTAAAGATTGAAATACGAAAACTGAGAATCTTGGATATTTAAATGGGGAACTGATATTACAAGTTAATTGAAAGGCAATAAAAATATGCTTATGAAATTGAATGATATTTTTCTGCACAAAATAATATTTTTTGTAGCCTGTGAATCCCTTGGCTTTTTGTAATTATCTTGAAAACACACACCTATTGTAGTGTCAATCAAGAGCTATAATATAACTATAATTGCGATAAATATTCTACAGAACTACCCATAAACAAAATATACAAAAAATATTAATAAATCTATAGAACAAATAAAGAAGAATATAAAAAAAAATTTATATATAAAAAAAAATGTATTAACTCATTATAAAATTTTCATTAAAATATAATTTAAAATACTTTCAAACGAATATTACGAATTTTATGATATATAAATAAAATTATTATTATATTAATAAAATGAATAATATAAATAAAATGATTATTTAATTGTTATAAATTTAGCTATCGATATTAAGTTACTTAGTCATTAAATTTTGCTAGCCCAGCACGTAGTGCTCAGTTCCACTAGAATTTTTATGACCGCAGCTGTACGTACATATGTACAGCCTATTAAACATATGTTCAATATATGTATGCATATAATATAATATAATATAATAATATAATATATATAATATATACATATAATATATATATTTTTATAATGCCTATAAATTACAAAAGAAAAAAGGAAACAAAGAAAAATAAAGAAAAAAATATGTCCAATGACCACCAATAAAGTATTCGCCTATTCCTTTTATATATATTTTTATATATATACATACATACATACATATATATACATATATCTGGATATACATTGCTTACGATTTTATTGCTACAAGTTCAGGTCCATAAAAACTTAATACCCATTCGCAATTGTCCTCAGTGCAGCGATAAGCCACATATTTGGGCACACACACAGTCACACAGTCACACACGCACAACACATACTTAGAGAGGCTCACACCTACCGTGCCGCAATCGGTGAGCCACATGTTTGGGCAATTCGACAAAGGCAGCAACAAATTTGGCAACGCAAATAAATTGAATACAATATTTAAGTTATCTCAACTCGTCTTGTGTTTTCTTTTGCTTTGCTTTGTTTTTGTTGTTATTTCAGTCGTTTTGTTTTGGTTTTTTATTGGACTTTTTTCTTTCAGTGTCGTTGTTTATTTGCAGGGCGCGCGCCTACAACTTGGCCTGAGAAAGGCAGCTAATGAGAGTGTGAGTGAGAAAGAGAGAGTGAGAGAGAGAGATAGAGAGAGTGAGAGAGTGAGAGTGAGTGAGTGAGTGTGTGTGTGTAGAAATGTTAGGGGGGGCGCCAGAGATAACGCGTATGCACGATATCCGATGTTCATCCCATGACCGTCGAATCTACACTGAACGAAGCCCTATGGCTAAAGCGATGCCGGTACCGTAGCCGTAGCCGATGGCAACCGATGCCCGGTGCCGATGTCGGCTACCCCGATGCTATATAGCCGAAATCTATCTGGAGCCATAGAGGCTCTTCGTTTCGTTGCTCGCATTCAAATGATTTTGCACTATAAACAAATTAATTGACTCAATTCTTGTAACCACACACAAATATGTGTGTGTGTGTGTGTGTGTATGCTTTACCCTTCTCTGCTCAACTCGATCATTATTTGTTGTTTAGCTAAGGAATTTTCGTCAATCGATCGAACGCAAAATAATAATTGTTATTGCCCATTGGCAATTGAAGCGTATATCTCATCTATGTATATCTGCTGTGCGTCTATTGTTTATATCTGGCATATCCGCGCACTCTGCTAATATTTACAAAATCCGAGCCCAAACACTCAAATATATACAGAGACTAAAGCCACATACATATGTACATACATATATCTATATCAATATCTATATGCATATACACACATATATCCGTAATGATAATGCTTGGTAGGGCAAGTAAATAGATTCATGTCCAATAATTACATAGATTTATCATATCATCAGACACGCGCACACACACACTGGACAGGACAGTCGTATTACAGTGAACACTCACATGAGACGAACACTGATTAACAACAATTAAACAGTTTGAAGCATATTCGATAGGGATTTTATATATGATTATGATGATACATTATGTATTTACTCTTAAAATAGATATTCATTAAAAATTTGACATTTTTATCTGGAAAATTAATTAAAGAAGCTTTTATATCGGCTATAATCTATATGTGTTACAGGCGTACAAAAATAGTACCAATATATCATAAGTGGGCCTCTTGCACAAACAACAAAATAGATATCAATATAGATTTAATCGAGAAAATCGATCAATTACTAAGCTTAGCAGTCTATCATACCCCATACTGTATGCTACCTATACTATAAAAAAGCTGATTATAGTATAAGTAGAGCACATTGGGGTGTGCTGGGCTAGAATACCCTTAATAGGCATAGGTATATTAATATCAGCTCTATTAGGGATTATTAGATAAACTAAATATTCCATATCAATATATGTTAAAATAAATATATTATTAATATACCAATTTAACCTTTAAGAATACCTTAAAAGTCTTGTAGCCCCGCTCAAGTCCATTCAGGGCTACGTTCGACCAATGAGAATCGCATAGAAGCGCATGCTATGCATGCGAGCAAAGCACATTTTCGATTTGCTTGCTCACTTAGGCAGTCTCCACTGTATGTACACAGTCACTCACTTACAATATGCCATTAATCGGCGACGCCATCAGCCGAATGAAAACTGTTGCGCAGTTTTCCTTTTTTGCGCGTTTCGTTTTGCTTTGTTTTGTTTTTCCGCCCCGGTGAGGGGGAGGGGGCGGCAGTGAGACGACGACAGGCTTACATATGTCGGTCCGGGCCTTTGGCAGCTATATTTGCCCAGAGCTTGACGCTGCTCGGTAAACAGAGCCGATGCGAATCGCTGAATGTAAACAGAAATTCAATTGAATTTCGCTCTCTAGAAATTTGGAATTTCGAAATTGGAATTTGAGTCGCGGTCAGTCCCATGAAAAAGTCTTGCAACGGAAGTGAATAATTTAAGTTATAATTCCCAGCATCTTCAGCGCCAAGAAGATATATAGATAGATTATATATTTGTATTATGATTATGTGATTATAGTCGCTCGAGTTTCACAAGCGAATTGACTTGATTAACATATCAATATTTGCAGACTTTGTCGACTCGTAAGACTCAGAGGTCTATGTAGAGCTCAATTGTAATTAAAAACTGTATTCATTTAGATCTGGTTTCCGCGTATTCCAATTTATGCCTATTTCCAGTCCTATTTCTCCAGCAATTGCAGCTCGAAACCCAACTCAAATAGACTTCTTTCATACCAATCCTACAAATGTTCCCTTTCCTAGTGTGCGTAGAATCTGTTTACATATCAGTAAAGTTTGCATGCAATCAATCAAATTGATTTACTAACAATTAATCTACGCAATATATTAAATTTTCGGGCTGCCTCAAGAGTCAACAAATCCAATAATTGCAAATACCTAAGCGCAAAAGCTGTCCAATAATCACTCCATCAATCAAAGTTCTATTTTGTTTATACGAAATACCGCTGAATACCAAGAAATGTGTAAAAATCTTTTCAAAACAATTTCAGGAATGAAAATTTCAAATAAAATTGAAATGTTTATGAGGAAAACTTGCAGCGAATTCTATAAATATAGCCAAAGATGTGGGCAAAAAGGAAACTAAATGAGATAGGATACAATATGGATGATATGGTAGATATATTGAACATATGTGTGCATATATGTATGTATATATTAGTGGCCTATAGTCTGCACATAGAGAGAGAGAGAGAGAGAGAGAGAGAGAGAGCAAGAGTCAGGGTAAAACAGATTAATGAATAGAATTTATTGAGCTGCGCAAAATATGAATATGTTTTATATATATATATGCACATATATATGTATATATTATATGTCCCCATGTATGGGGCTTCTGGTGTTCAGGATTTGAATTGCTATTCCCACCACAGCCGCAGCAGCTGTTCATGCGCCAAATTGCATTTCGAACAACTTGAACTCTGCTGGATATCGAATATAATCCTAGCTCTCGCTCTCTCTCGCTCTCACACACTCAGCCAAAGCTCATTCACTGTGCCGCTCACACTCTGCCACACACACACTCTCTCTCTCTCTCTCTCTCTCTCTCTCTCTCTCTCTCTCTCTC